CTATTATATCTTCATGTTCCCTGGGTCTTCTTTTCATAAGGCTGGGGAACACTTCAAGCAGGTATTCTGTGCACATTCTCAAAACTTAATTATATAGCCAGTTTCTGATTATATTCTCTTAGAACAGTTCTTATTGAAACTTTGCAAATAACTATTTGTCATAAAATAAAAATATTCACCAACAGTTTTTGAATTCTGGAGGAATGATGTAGGGAGAAAAAATAAATGTTTCAATTTTATTTACAAAGGTATGATTTACTAAATTGTTTTAAGCTATATATAGCTTAAATTTTTTCCTTAAATTTGGAACACATTTATTAGATGATTAAAAATTATTTTTCTTTCATCAGTTCATTAGTCCCAAGTAATTAACTCTTGTTTTGCTTGATGCTGGGTTAGCAGCATAGGAGCCAATTGGTTTCTTCATTAGAGTTTTGAAAGTTCTTGTCAAGTCCAGTGGAATGCTCTGAAGTGATCAGAAACTTGCCAGAGTCCTTTACATGAGTCTTTGAAAACACAATGCTTTAGGATTATGGTTGTTTGAAAAGCCTTTGGGGGAAAGCATCAGAGTAAAACAATTAACTTGTCATCTGTGGGTGACAAGACTTAAAATGGCCATGATTAAAGATCTAATAATAGTTCATTATGATAATCTCATAATTGATATGGAAATTTGTTATTTCTGTGACATATAACATTTTAACATAATAATCAGAATTATGACTGATAACATTGTATCAGGACACATCAGACTTAAAGGAATTTCATACAATTTCTGGAACACTTAAACATCACTTTGTGACAATGTTTCCCATGCAAATTTGCCATGTCAAATAAGCCTAATTAGTTTATCATCTCTTGTAAAGGGAGGGAATAGATTCTTTTGAAAACTTGCAGAGTTTCTCTAGAAGGTTCCAAAGTCAATTTGAGGAAAGAAAGGAAGGAAGGGAGAGAAGGAGGGAGGGAAGGAGGGAGGGAAGGAGTGGGAGGAAGAAGAAAGAGAGGCAGGCAGACTGGCCATATAGAATTTGATTTTGAGTAGTTTGTTAAAAGTATCAAAAGGCTTAAAACACTAGATTGTATGTTCACAGCCCATCCCTGCTGCTGGCTGAGGTACCAGGCCTGCAATACAGGAGCTCAGTGGCATTAGGCAGTTTCTGCTGGATGCAAGTGTCCCACCTTGTCCAGCAAATTGGTGAGGAATGAAGGAAAACTGAAATTGGGAAATGCAGCAATCCAAATGGCCACAGGCACAATTATTAATTCCCAGTTAATAGTTGTTCATGAAGAAATTGATCCTGTTACAAATATGAATTTGAATTTGACAGACCTCATAAAATATATGGAGTAGACAATTATGAAGTCCTTTGATCTAAGAATCTGGATATGGATGTGTTGTACTTTGTGGATATTCTAAGTATGACAATAAATGTGGCTGTATAAACCTGAGAAAAACCTCTAGAAATTCCTTCTGATGGGAATTCTTTATAAAGTAAAAGTATATGAAACTGATAAAAAATATTGTAGTCCATAAATGAGAACAGCTTTTAGAGATTGACATTGTAGAAAGACTAAGTTCTTTCCATATTTGAAAAAACTCTTTATGCCTTTGGAATATTAAGAAGTCATTACATAATTGTGCCTCCACATTATGTTCTCAAATGCCTGACTTATTGAAATCATTGTAAGGCCTATTACAAATTCAAATCTATTTTAAAGCCAAACTTGTGATATATCTTGAATATCATTTAGAGGATTTATCTACAGATTAAAAAATCACTTCACTTTCAGTCAACCCCCAACACACAAATAAAAAAAAAGCAACAACATCACAGATTATTAAGAAACAATGCAAATTGACAAAATATTTTAAAGGCAATTATAGCCAGCCCTCTGTATTCATCAGTTTTGTATCCACAGGTTGAACTAATTACAGATTAAAAATATTCAGAAAAAATTGAATCTGTATTAAATAGGAAGGAACAAACATTTTTCTTGTCATTATTCCCTAAAAAATATAGTACAGTAACTATTTACATGTCATTTACATTGTATTAAATACAACAAGCAATCTAGAGATGATTTATAATATATGGGAGAAGGTGTATAAGTTATATGCAAATACTATGCCATTTTATATAAGGCACTTGAATATCTACTATTTTGGTACCTGTGTGGGAAAGACGGGTGTCCTGGAATCAGTCCCTGACAGATACCAAGAGATGACTGTACAGAAAAGTTGCATGGTTGAAAATAACCTTAGCGGGCTGGGGTTGTGGCTCAGTGATAGACCACTTGCCTCTCATGCATGGAACACTGGGTCCGATCCTCAGCAATATAATAAAATAAATAAAATAAAGGTATTGTGTCCATCTACAACTAGAAAAACCTTTTTAAATAAAAAGAAAAAAAAAGAACCTTAGCTCTTTTAATATTGTGAAGACTGTTTTTTTTTTAAACAATCGAAAGATCTAATAAAAGACTAGGATAATAATAATAAGAGACATATAATATTTACTTCAACTTTGTTTACATAATTTGTTGCTGGAATTTCTTTGATGGGATTCAGATTTTTTATTTTTTCCCCTCCCAAGGGATACATTCTCAGCCTCTTGAGTAATAACCATGCTATTTAACCATAAGTATTATTCAAATGTTAATGAAATGCTCTCATTGCATCCTCATTTATATCTTACAAGGACCAGTTGAGCTAACATTAGAACTAAGAAACTTTGACTTCTACTTTACATCCCTTTCTGCTGTAGTACCCCATTTGCTAATGGAAGGTTTTTTTTTTTTTTTTTTTTATCTCCTGAGAGACATATGCTTATCACTGTGGCTCTTTTTTGTCTGTGCAGTGTATATTTTCCTTTCTTTTTCTTACTACCAATCTGAACTTCTGCCAAATAGAGTTGATCTATCCCTGAGTCTAGGGATGGACATGTGACTCAGACTGGCCAATCAGAAATGACATTTGTATGGCCTGTGACCCAAGGTGGGCCAATGAGAAAGTTCAGATCCAGAATTTGCATTATATAGGAGAAAATATAAGAAAGGGCACAGTGGCCAGCCATCTTGCTAATCCTATGGCATATAAGAAAGAAGTCAGCAGAGCTAATATATGAGACACTTGGATATAAGAACATCACTCAAATCCCTGGATTCTGTCAATCTTGAAGTCAAATTAATTGTGGACTTTTCACAAAAATGTTTCTGTTTGCTTAAACCAAGTTAAACCCTTTGGCTTTAAACAAGTTAGATTTTCTTTATCAGTTCTTTAGGAATAGTAAATTTTATCTTATATAAATAAAGTTATTCAAATAAGACAAGTTAAATATTGGAGAAACTATTTCACTTTTTAGTCATGTGTAGTTTTAGAATTTTTGGGCCAGAAACTTGACGGACACTTAACTAGGCTAGCTCTAGTGAGAGGATCTGAAAATACCTTGTTTTGGATTTTGTGACTGTCTTTCCTCATGAGGTCTACTGGAAACCAACACCTGTAGAAGCTCAGAGAAAGACTTGTTGGAATGGTTCATGAATCTGGGTTAGTGTGAGCATCCACGAAACTCCAAATATGTGTTCTAATCTTATTCCTGAAATAAATTATTCATACTTTTTTGGGAAAAAAAGATAACATGAACCACAGAGAATTATTTTCAAAAGATGTAAGCTCTTTGTTTTCAAGGCAGATCACTTAAAAGGTTAAGAAAAACTTCCACCAAGAAAACTTTGCTCTTTTAACAGAAAGGGTTGGTTTTATACAAATGTAATTTTGATATTAAGCATCATTTTAAAAATTCCTGTAATAACTTCACTCAATTTTAACCATCTTGACCATACATAAAATTCTTCTTTCAAATGTTCTCTTCCACAAACCTTCTACCACTTTCTTATATCCTTGTAGCTTGTTCTGTACTTTTCCTCTTTCCCATTTTGGAACAACCAGTCATTTTACCTTAGGACAAAAATTATTCTTTGTCCCTTAACAATAAAATAACAACCAGAAAACACATTCTCATAACTTTCCTTACCAGGTATATGTCTTACTTTCTTTGTGTACACAGTTATTTACTTTATTATTTCTAAAAATTGTATTTATTAACGAGAACTTTTAGTAACTCTAATATTTAGAAATACACACTTATGTATTGTATACATTTCCATATTTATTAACATGCCCAAATACTTTTAGTTTCTCTCTACCAAATAAAAAGATACCAAAAGTATATAAACTTAAATTTAAGTTCAGAGTTAATGCTTCAGCATTTAACTGACTTAGACAGGTTCAGAGATTTAATAAATATCACTTAATTTAGTATATTATAATTTTTACCTTTCAAGTTACCCAAAAAAAGTTGTTGAAACTATGAAAATTCATTTATAAATTTTTATCCCATTTATGTTCACCTCATTTACTTGTACTTAACAATAATGTGTGAATTGTTCATGAAAAAATTGTGAGATGTTAAACCAAGCTGACCACCGTCCTGAGTTATTTCCTTGTTAACTGTTTTTACAGCATGTGCTTCTTAGGCCATTGTCAACAAAGCAAGAACAGAAAGTCAAATACATCTTTTTGCTGATAACTCAGAAAAAGCAGCTTTTAATTATTAAACCAACAATATTAAACTAGTCTTCTTTACCAAAGATTTACTCAAATCATGTGAACTTGAAATACATTGGAGTTGGTCTTGGTACTTCCAAGAGTTGAAGGAACACTCAATTCATATAATCACTTATTTTCCTTTTAGCTAATTAAACAGAGCTCCTCTATGGAATTTATAAAATAATTTGAAAATACCATCCAGATAGGAAAATGTCACATAGCAACATGCATATATACATAAACAGATAAATGCAAAGATCTTATAGCTTTTGGTACCGTTTTTTTTTTTTTTGTCAGGTTTTCAAACAACTTCCCCCCTTTTCAGACTAACAATATTTCTTTTATTTTTTTTCTTTGTTCTTTTTACTTATGCATGACAGTAGAATGTATTAAAAATGTGGACTGCTTCATGAATTTGCATGCCATCCTTGTTCAGGGGCCATGCTAATTTTCTCTGTATTGTTCCAATTTTAGTATATGTGCTGTCAAAGAGAGCATAACAATATTTCGATTAGGTCAAAAGACCAAAAGAGAAAATGGAAGAATAATATTGAATGATGAAATGAATAAAAATTCCCAAATCTAATGAAAACTATCCATCCCAAGTAGAATAAATACAATGAGATTGACACCTATCTAAACTGTTACTCTTAATTTTTTTCTCTCTCTCTTTTTAACATAATACATTTATTTATTTATTTTTATGTGGTGCTGAGGATGGAACCCAGGGCCTCCCATGTGCTAGGCAAATGCTCTACCGCTGAGACACACCCTAGCCCCTGAGGTGTTCTCTTTTTCACCCTCTGACCACTTTACTCACAATAGCAGGGAGTCCCTCTCTTGACCTGCCTGACCTGTGCCCTAAACAGTTGTTAGGTTGACTCATTACAATCCCTGCTTTCCAGCTTTTTATTAGTTATTTGTTTTATTTAAAATGTGAGCTTGCTATGTTGCCTAGGCTGATCTTGGACTTGTGGGTTTGTACTTTTTTTAAACATTTGATCCCAAAATTTCCATTTGAAAAATTAGAAAACCAACCAAAAGAAGCCAAATTATCAAATGTATGAATGAAACCAAATCTGGAATATAGACTTTCCAATGTGGAAAACAGGATGTGCAGTGTGTGTGATCGCATTTTCAAAGTACATATAGAGTGAGGCTTTTGATCATAGCAGAGTCATGAGTTGGGCAAATCTGTCCTGCCTCTCTACACACACACACACACACACAAAACTGAGTGAAATTGTTAAAAAAAATATGTCAGGGCTTTGAATATTTCAAAGGGAAACATTTCAAATGGAAGTTCATCCCGTGGAAAAACACTCCTCTGAGAGACAAGTCCTGAGGAGAGAGAAAGGCTTTCTTCAGTGGCCAAATGAAGGAGAAGAGGGAACTTTGCTCACAAATCAGTTTCTCAACTCTGGTTGAGCGGTTGCAGAAACCACATAGGAATAATGAGGAGGAGGGATAGGATAATAAAGTGGAGGAATATTCGTATCTTTTCTGGGAATAGGCAGAGATCTTCCAGGAACGCGGATGGCACCTTTTTTTCTTTCTTTCTTGGTCTGGTGTTTCTGGTCATGGTGGCTGGTAGGTGTCTTTGGCCTGGGGGGATGGCTAGGAGAGCCCAGGTCAAGTCAACACATTTCTCACATGTTCAACAGGCCTACATACAGAGCTGAGTAGAATCTGACCTAAAGGTTAAGACAACAAAGGAGACAGACACAGTATGAAGGCAGAGATGCCAAGTCTTTTTATCCCATTCCACTCACCTATTGGACATCCATAGACCCAAGTGAAGAGTTTTTACAGCAAAACTGGATTTCAGGTCCCTGAAGAGTAACCTAGGCAACCATTATCATCATAATCTTCACATCAGACGTGTTAACTCCTGCAAAACTTGTGAGACTAATAATGTATTACTCAGCAGTGTGACCTTCTAAATTAGTGATTTTTAAAGTCAACTAAGAGCAAGTGAAGCTAACAGGTTTATTTAGAGTTTTCCTCAGTAATAAAACAATACATGGAAAAATATGTAGTCTTGAAAACCTGCTAACATTTTATATAAAAATAACGAGAGTCTATGGGCTTCATGCCTGGAGCTGCCCCTGCCCTGTGGCTTGAACACAGCAGTGTTACCAGGGCAGCACTGATGGTGAAAACCAGCAGCCTCACTGTCAGAATCTGGTAGGCTTGATTTGGAGTGGAAGATGAAGACCCACCACCAGTGCTGACAATAAAAGCAGCTAACTCAGGAGAAATTGTAAGGGAAATTTTGCGGCTCTCTTAGTCTGTGGTTGCAGTCCTGGTTGGAGTAAGGAGCTGACCAGCAGAAATTTAATGGGGGAAATCCTAGAAACAAGAGCACCCTAGAGAAGTTATGTAAACTCTCCACACATCCCTGATTGATGCATATGTGTAGGGGAGAATCAAGAGAGCCTGAAAGAAAGTCAAAATTAGATAGACTCAAAAATGGACTGAATTTTGAATGCATTCCTCCACTCACACTGAGATCCATTACAAAGGATGGATCTTTTAGGCTGACAGTGTTTGAACCCAGCCTTTGCCCAATCCCTGTCCGACGACCACTGAGTTCTGCAGATATAGGAATGATCTTTAGAAAGTTAGGCAGGCTAAAAATTAAAAAAAAAAAAAAAAAGACAAAACCTGAAAACAACAACAAACCCCAAAACAAAACAAAACCAAGCAGAAGCATTAGTGACCACACACCACAGGAGACGGAGATTCTGCTTATTAAGTTCAGACCAGTTAATAAAGACAATAAACGCTCAGGGGAAAAATCAGTCTACTATTGCTACACTATATCATATAAAATGTCAAGTTTTCAACAAAAATCGTGAGTCAAGTAAAGAAACAGAAAATCTGGCCTATACTCAAGGAAAAAAGGAAGCAATAGAAACCGATTCTGAGTGGGCCCAGAAGAAATTAGATTTGACAAATATTTCAAAGCAGCCACTATAAACATATTCAAAGAATAAAGAAAATCATGCTTAAGAATTAAGAAATCAGTATGTTGACAATGAACCAATAAATAGAAGATCTCAGTATAGAAGTAGAAGTATTTTTTTTAGAAAGGAACTTAATGGAAATTTCCTTTCTTCCTTCTTTCCTTTTCTCCCTTCCTCTCTTCCTCCTTCCCTCCTTCCCTTCCTTCCTTCTCTCCCTCCCTTCCTTTCATCTCTTTCTTTCTTTCTCCCACTTCTCCTTCTTTCTCCTTCCTTCCTTTCTTGAAAGAGTCTTACTTTATTGCCAAGGCTGGTCTCAGACTCCTGGGTTCAAGCAACTCTCTTATCTCAGTCTCCCCAGCATCGGGGACTATAGCCACATGTCACTGTGTCTCATTAGCTTAATGGAAATTCTGAGTTGAAGTGTATAATAACAGAAACTGTAAACAAAAATTACTAGAGGACATCACAGAAGAAAGAATCAGTGAACTTTAAGACATATCATTAGAAATTACTCAATCTGAAGACCACAGAAAAAAGATGAAAGAAAATCAATAGAGCCTCAGATGTTGCTGGGATAACTCAAGCATAACAACATATACATAAGTGGAGGCCCAGAAGACTAAAAGAGAAAGAGGCAGGAAAAATTTAATGATATAATGGATAAAAATTGCCAAAATCTGATGAAAAATTTCCACAGACCCCAGAAGCTAAACAAACCCAAGTGGAATAAATACAAAGAACCACACCTAGACACATTATAGTGTAGGAAGCCAAAGCAAAAGAAAATCTGGAAGCTAACAAGAGAAAACCAACTGATCACATACAAGGGGACAATATAATTAATAACCAACCTCTCATTAGAAACATGGAAGTCCAAAAACAGTAGCATGATATATTCAAATTGCTGAAAGAAAAACTGAAAATTTATGTCTAGCAAAACTAACCTTTAATAATGAAGGTAAAATATTCTCAAATAAACAAAATCAGAGAATGTTTGCTAGCTGATATGTTTTACAAGTAACACTAAAGGAAATTCCTTAAGCTGAAAGGAAATGAATGCAAGGTGGTAACCAGAATCCAAAAAGAAAGGAAAAAAAAAAAAAAAAAGAAGAACACAGGAAATGGTGAGTATGTAGGTCAATAGTAAAAATTGTTCTTTTATCTCCTCTTAATTTCTTCAAAAATATTTTGTAAAAATGTCATGATAATTAGTATAATAAAATATAATTTTATAAGTTTATAACACATGTATACATATAAATAATAACAGCAAAAGGGAAGGAGGAATGGAGTTATATTGAAGCAAAGTTACCATATTACACTGGAATTAAGTTAGTATGAACTTGAATTATATTTTGAAAAGGTAAGATGTATATTTTCATCTATACAGCAACAATTAAGAATTTAAAATATTTCTTTATTTAAAATTTTAAATATCTAAAAACCTATCAATGGAATAAAAATGTTACACATGGTATTTAATACAAAAGAAGAAAATAAAAGCTACAGATGAACAACAAAAAAATCTGCCACATATAGAAATTAAATAACAACATGACAGATATAATACAAGCCTATCAATAATTACATTACTTCCTAAACATCTAATTCAAAGGCATTAGACTGGTTACAAAACAATATCCAATAAAATACTGTCTAGGGAGACAAACATTAGATTTAAAGATAAAAATAGAATTGACAGGAACTGGAGTGTAGCTCAGTGGTGGAGCACTTGCTTAGCATATGAGAGGCCCAGGATTCAATCCCCAGCAACACACACACACACACACACACACACACACACACACATAGACACACTGGATTGACAGTAAAAGGATGAAAAAGATTGACTATGTAACGGTAATCATAAGAGAGCTGGGCTGGCTGAATTAATATCAGACATATTGACTTTAGGAAAAGAAATATACTAGAGATTTTATATATATATATATATATATATATATATATATATATATATATATATATATATATATATAGAGAGAGAGAGAGAGAGAGAGAGAGAGAGAGATAAGCTTTTCATAATTGTAAAAAAAACTAATATAGCAGTAAGGTATAACTATTAGACACAAATAACAACAGAGCTGCAAAACATATGAAGCAAAAATTGACAAAACTGAAGAAAGAAATTGACAATTCTGTGTAGATATTTCAATACCCAAATTCTGATAATTGATGAAATAACTGGACAGAAAATAAGTAAGAGTAAAAATGATTTAAATACTTTTTATTTATTTATTTATTTATTTTATTTTGAGAGAGAGAGAATTTTTTTAATATTTATTTTTTAGTTTTCAGCGGACACAACATCTTTGTTTGTATGTGGTGCTGAGGATCGAACCCGGGCCACACGCATGCCAGGCGAGTGAGCTACCTCTTGAGCCACATCCCCAGTCAAACAGACTCACTTGTCACTCACTAGTGACAAGCAGGGCCCCCTCAGGCTTCCAGTCCCCCAGAGGAGCCACCTCCTCCCTGCATGATCTGGGAGTTTGCACAAGAACTAGAATC